CCCGTCTCTACTAAAAAAATACAAAAAACTAGCCGGGCGTGGTGGCGGGCGCCTGTAGTCCCAGTTACTTGGGAGGCTGAGGCAGGAGAATGGCGTAAACCCGGGAGCCGGAGCTTGCAGTGAGCTGAGATCCGGCCACTGTACTCCAGCCCAGGCGACAGAGCGAGACTCTGTCTCGAAAAAAAAAAACAAAAAACGTAGGAGCTCCTCCCTGCAACCCCTGTGGTCTCAGTTGTCTACTTTTTTTTTTTTTTTTTTTTTGAGATGGATTCTCACTCTGTCGCCCAGGCTGGAGTGCAGTGGCACAGTCTCGGCTCACTGCAACCTCTGCCTCCTCGGTTTAAGCAGTTCTCTCCCTCAGCATCCCGAATAGCTGGGATTACAGGCACGTGCCACCATGCCTGTATTTTTAGCAGAGGTGGGTTTTTGCCATCTTGGCCAGGCTGGTCTTGAACTCCTGACCTCGTGATCCACCTGCCTCGGCCTACTGAAGTGCTGGGATTACAGGCATGAGCCACCGCACCCCGTCTTCAGTTGTCTTCTAACAACTTTGTTCAACTTTGCTGTGGAACATTTCCTCATGTCAGCTCCACTAGGTTGCATTAATAAAGTAACTGTATGAGGTGACATATGAAATGGCAGCCTGACTGCAGTGTAGGTCTGCATGAATTCTCAGTGCTTTTACTCTTCCCATCTTGTTCCTCTCTTAACATTGACTTTGCCTTCACTTCAGTTATCCCATTCATTGTACCTTCATGCTAAGGAGCCCCCTGCCTCAGGATTTCTCTTAGCAGTTTTCTTCTGCCAGATGTGCTTATTCCTTCCTTGAAAAATAAAATAGTTCTTTTTAACACCTGAGTTCATACCCAAAGCATTATGTGTTAAAGGAATATTAACAGCAAAAACCATTTTAGAGAAGTTCTTCACCTCATGATCTAGTCACACTTTTAAAGTCAGGCATCTAGAGCATTTTGAGAAAGATAAAAGTTCAAGGAATTAATATTAGATCAGTGATCTCCATTAGGACGATCTTACAGCCACAGTCAGGACTATGAGTATGTATTAATATAAGTTTTTATTATCTCCATTTTACTGATGATGAAACTAAGAGAGCTTTAGTACTTGCATTGTCAGGCAGTAAGCAGCAAAGCCAGGGCCCAGAGCTAGCATTCTTCATTACTGTGTTCTTTCTGCCTTCCATGTGTAGAGCTGGGACACACAAGGGAGTGTTCGAGAAGACCATGGAAACGTCAGTCAGTTTCAGGAAAGCAGAATGCTATATAGTCTTTTACCTCTGAGTGCAAACATGAATTCTCATCTCATCAGAACTGACCTTGTCAGCTTTTCAATTACCTAGAATAAATAGTTTGATGGATTAGACTCTTTGCTGGTGAACAGAGTCCATGTGACATAGTCACCTCTGTAAACCCTTGAGTGCAAAGTCAAAAAAAGATCAGATGAACCTTACTTCTTTCTGGTGGTAGATGAACCTTACTTCTTTCTGGAGATTGACCATGCACAGACTGATCTCTTACTAAGGAGTTTTCTAATGGCCTTATATAAAGGAAATACTTGATAACAAGATACTATTTTCTGTTAAGTAAAAGGATTTAATTTGCCGAATCTTTATAAGCCATGCTTAACAGTAAGCAACATTATGAACATTTATGAACACCTGCTATATACCAGTAACAGTGCTTTTTGTATATTGTTTTAATCCTCATAACAGTCTTTTGAAACAGGAATTATTTCACTTATAAAAGAGGACACTGAACTTGACGGGGAAATAATTTCCCCAAGATCACATACCTAGAAAGTGGCAGGAGCTGGGATACACCAAGTTAAACTCAAAAGCTAGTGTTCTGTGCTCTATAGAATCTTCCATGAATGTTCAGATTTTTTTTTTAAAAAGTAAGTTTCAGAATACTAAATCCAATATGGTGGTCAGTATATTGTTTAAGAATTTGTGGTAAAACTGTGTGTTTGTATAAAAAGAAAGTAAAGTAATATAATTTTGAGAATAAAGGCCACCTCTGGGGTGGGGGATGGGGTGGAGGCAGAGAAATGAAATCAGAAACAAGCATACAGTTGGCTAATCAGTTTGGGCAATATTCTAGTTCTTAAGTTGGGTAATAGGTTCACATATATATTCTTTTGTACATATTACATTATAAAACCTTTTAAAGAATTGTATGTTTCTGTTATACACCACTGTCATCCATTACATTTTCAGAAGAACCTTGGTAAACATTTGCTAGTGAAGTTCAGATAAATTCAGAGTCTTTTCTCCATATGAAACTTATTTACTATTATCTTTATTTAGGCTCTGATGACAGTATCCAGTGTGATTTGACTGCCATTGATGATTCTTTAGAAGGAGGGCTCTTGGGGTTTTTTCCTAGATCCTTATTTTTGTTACGTGATTTTCATACCAGTTTCTTCAAAAGACAATGGCTAGTTTATCTTTGGTATTTGTCTTGCAAAAGGACTGTGTGTGTGTGTGTGTGTGTGTGTTTTACTTTTAATTACCAAAAATTTCAAACTTAAAAATGGAGAGGATAGTAGTACCCTGAACCCCCATGTTCTACCTAGTCATTCATCAACTTGTGGCCACTGTTGTTTCAGATGTGTTGTATCCTGGATTATTTCAGATTATATCCCAGATATCTTTTTTTTTTTGAGACGGAGTCTCGCTCTGTCGCCCAGGCTGGAGTGCGGTGGCACGATCTCGGCTCACTGCAAGCTCCGCCTCCCAGGTTCATGCCATTCTCCTGCCTCAGCCTCCCCAGTAGCTGGAACTACAGGCTCCTGCCACCATGCCTGGCTAATTTTTGTATTTTTAGTAGAGACAGAGTTTCACCATGTTAGCCAGGATGGTCTCGATCTCCTGACCTCATGCTCCTCCCACCTCAGCCTCCCAAAGTGCTAGGATTGCAGGTGTGAGCCACCACACCTGGCCAATTAATTATATATATATATGTGTGTGTGTATATATATATTTTTTGATATGGAGTCTCTCTTTGTCGCCCAGGCTGGAGTGCAGTGGCGCGATCTTGGCTCACTGCAACCTCCACCTCCCGGGTTCAAGCGATTCTCCTGCCTCAGTCTCCCAAGTAGCTGGGACTACAGGCACGCGCCACCACTCTCAGCTAATTTTTTTTGTATTTCCAGTAGAGAAGGGGTTTCACTGTATTGGCCAGGCTGATCTGGAACTCCTGACCTTGTAATCCACCCGCCTAGGCCTCCCAAAATGCTGGGATTATAGGCGTGAGCCACTGCGCCCAGCCAATTAACAATTTTTTTTTTTTTTTTTTGAGGCGGAATCTCGCTCTGTCTCCCAGGCTGGAATGCAGTGGCGCGATCTCTGCTCATTGCAAGCTCCGCCTCCTGGGTTCACACCATTCACCTGCCTCAGCCTCCCAAGTAGCTGGTACTACAGGCACCCACCCACCATACCTGGCTAATTTTTTGTATTTTCAGTAGAGACAGGGTTTCACCATGTTAGCCAGGATGGTCTCAATCTTCTGACCTTGTGATCTGCCCGCCTCAGCCTCCCAAAGTGCTGGGATTACAGACTTGAGCCACCGCACTCAGCCGATAATTTTTAATACCACCAAATATCTGGTTTGTTCAACTCTCCTTGAGTCCCATAATTGTTTTTTTGTTGTTTCGTTTTTCACAGTTTGTTGAAAACAGGATCCAAACAAATTTTACACATTGCAGAAAGCTTTTGTTGCTAATATCTCGGGCTCTTTTAATTTACAGAAGAGTCAAACCCCAAAAAGTTCTTTTTAAAGTCTGAATCATTCATTAATTACATATAAACTTAATATTGTTAACAGTTACTGTGTCATAGTCCTTTAAATTCCCTCCACAGTATCTAATATGGTACTGTGCAGGTAGGCCCTCAGAAAATGTACTCTTAAAAGCAAAGTCTAGCTAACTTTCTCTGAAAGGAATAGATAGTAAATATTTTAGGCTTTGCAGGCCATATGGTCTCTGTTGCAACTACTCAAGTGTTTGTCACTGCTACTCAACTCTGCTGTAAAGCAGTAAAGCAGTCATAGACAATTTGTAAATGAATCAGGCGGCTGTGTTGCAATAAAAGTTTATTTATGCAAAAAGCTGGGCGGAGCGCATTAGCTCCAGCCTGTAATCCTAGCACTTTGGGACGCCGAGGTGGGCAGATCACTTGAGGTCCAGAGTTTGAGACCAGCCTGGCCAACATGGTGAAACCTCATCTCTACTAAAAATCAGCCGGGCATGGTGGCACCCTGCCTGTAATCCCAGCTACTTGGGAGGCTGAGGCAGGAGAATCGCGTGAACCCAGGAGGCAGAGGTTGTTGTGAGCTGAGGACACCATTGCACGCCAGCCTGGGCAACAAGAGCGAAACTCCGTCTCAAAGAAAAATGTTGGCTGGCCATCCCTGTCCTAGAGAACTGGTTTTTCGTTTTTTTTTTTTTTTTTAAAGAGGCCACGCCCGGTTGAGAACTGGTTTTCAAAATGTCCTCTAGTTAACTAGGGTTCTGTAAAGGTGTGGGAAGGGCAGAATGAATACTGGTAACACTCCACCTTTACCACCCACCTCATCCAGAGCTCTACATTTATGTATTTTACATACTGGGTTTCATGTGAAATTTTATTTGAAAATAGGATTCTCTCTCTCTTTTTTTTTTTTTTTTTAATTGAAATTTGGCTGGGCATGGTGGCTCACCCCTGTAATCCCAGCACTTTGGGAGGTCGAGGTGGGTGAATCACTTCAGGTCAGGAGTTCGAGGCCAGCCTGGCCAACGTGGTGAAACACCATCTCTTCTAAAAATACAAAAATTAGCCAGGCATGGTGGCGCACACCTGTATCTCAGCTACTTTGGAGGCTGAAGCAGGAGAATCACTTCAACCCAGGAGGTGGAGGTTGCAGTGAGCTGAGATTGCATCACTGCATGCCAGCCTGGGCAACAGAGTGAGACTCCATCTCCAAAAAAAATAAAAATAAGAGACATAACCACCAAGCTGGGTATCAGGGAGATGGCCGAGACTGACCCCAAGACCGTGCAGAACCTCACCTCGGTGGTGCAGACACTCCTGCAGCAGATGCAAGATAAATTTCAGACCATGTCTGACCAGATCATTGGCAGAATTGACGATATGAGTAGTCGCATTGATGATCTGGAGAAGAACGTCGCAGACCTCATGACACAGGCTGGGGTGGAAGAACTGGAAGGTGAAAACAAGATACTTGCCACACAAAAGAGTTGAAGGTTGCTAATAATTTATGCTGGAATCTGGAACACCATGTTTCCAAGCCAAGGGAAGATCGAATGGCTTTTTACAGCTAACTATTATGTGTAGACAGGTTTTATATTATAAAGTATGCATTCTTATCACGTACTATATAGTTAGTTTGTAGAGTGATTTACCCCCCAGTTTCTTGAACATAGTGTCTTCACATCTTGGGCCTTGGTCAGTTGTGCTATTCATTATTAAACACTAAAACTTTGGCGGTTCCTGCATAACATTGTCAAATTTTTTAGTGTATTTCTGTGAAGTCATATTTTTTTTCTTGTCATTCCTTTTGTAGTAGTTGCTGTTTGGATAAAAGTTGCTGTGTTGAGCTGAGATGGTGCCATTGCACTCCAGCCTGGGCAACAAGGGCAAAACTCCGTCTCAAAAAAAAAAAAAAAAAAAAAAAGTTGCTGTGTGATTTTTTTATTAAACAAATAGTAAACCCTTCGGGAAAAAATAAATAAATAAATAAATAAATTCATGAGTCTGTGACACACTACTGGTCTTTTTTTGTTTTTGTTTTTGTTTTTTTCTTTTTTAAAGAAATGGTGTCTTACGTTGCCCAGGCTGTTCTTGAACTCCTGGGCTCGAGTGATTTTCCTGCTTTGGCCTCCCAGAGTGTTGGGATTATAGACATGAGCCACCATACCTGACCGCTACTGGTCTTTATAGTAACACTATTTTGTGCAAGGCACTATGCACTTACGCACTTAACTCTTATTTTACCTGATCTTTGCAGTAACCTTACAAGTTAGGCTTTGTCATCCTTAGGGAGAAGTAACTTGCTCAAAATAGTTAAGCTAGTAATTGGTAGTGTGGGAATTGAGACTTAGACCTGTTTATTTCAGGGCCTATTCTTTTTTCCTCTCTATTTTGAAAATTTTCAAATTTCAGAAGTATGAGATACAAAAATAGTGTACTTTCTGTATCCTTCCTATTTCTCTTCTTTTTCTTTCTCATATGTATATTTTTACATATATGGACTTTTCCCTGACCATTTGAGAGTTAGTTGCATAAATCATGACACTTTACCTCTAAATACTTTAATTAGTATGCATCTCTTGTTGTTTTTGTTTTTTGAGACAGGGTCTTGCTTTGTCACCCAGGCTGAGGTGCACTGGCATGATCATAGCTCACTGTAACCTTGAACTCCTGGGCTCCAGCAGTCCTCCCACCTCAGCCTCCCTAGTAGCTAGGACTACAAGCACTCACCACCACACCCAGCTAAATTTAATTTTAATTTTGTAGTGATAGGGGTTTTGCTGTGTTGCCCAAGCTGATCTCAAGCTCTTGACCTCGAAAGATCCTCCTATCTTGGCCTCCCCAAGTGCTGAAATTAAACCACTGAGCTCGATCAGTGTGTATCTCTTAAGAACAAGATCATTCTCCTACAAAATAATGTGTTACAACACCATTATTATACTCAAGAAATTTAATGTTAATGCCAATACTATTATCTAGTATACAATCCACATTCACATTTCCTCAGTTGTTCCAGTAGTATCCTTTGTATCTCTTTTTTGGGGTAAAGGATCCAATTAAGCATCATACATTGCATCTAGTCATATATCTTTATTCATCTTTAGAGGGTTTCCCCAGTCTTTTTTCCCCTGTTATTTTATTATGAAAATTTTGAATACACAACAAAGTTCTTACTCACAACAAAGAATCTTGCTACTTAGATTCCATTAATATCTTACTATGTTTTATTACAAATCTGTTTATCTCTCTAGCCATCCTTTAATCCATGTTATGTTTTCGATGCTTTGCAAAGTAAGTTGCAAATATTGGTTCATTTTCCCTGAAATACTTAAGCGTGCAGGTCATGAACTAAGTTCCAATATTTGTGTGAAATGCACAAACATTAAGTGTAAATTTGCAGAGTTTGGGCATATGCATATACCTATCAAGACACGGAGTATTAATATCACCCTGGAAGAATCCCTCATATCCCTTCTTCTCCCCTCCCCCTAAAGGCAACCACTGTTTATTTCTGTAAAATTCTGCTTATATGATATTCTAGAATTTGATATTAGTAGAATCATACCAGTATACTTTTGTGTAATCTTTCACTCAGCATAACGTTTTGAGATTGATCCATGTTATATTCCTTTTTATTACTGAGTAGTATTCTAGCGTGTGAATATACCAGTTTCTTCATACAGTTCTTCTCTTGGTGTATTTTTCACTATTACAAAGAAAGTTGCTGTGAACATTCTTGTACAGGTTGTATAGTGAGCATAAGATTTCACATCTTTTGAATAAATTGCTAGGAATGGAATTGCTAGGTTATAAAGAAACTGCCAAACCTTTTTCCAAAGTAGTTGTACTATTTTAATTCCCACTAGCAGTTTATGAGCATTCTAGTTATTTTACTTGTTTTACATCTTTGTCACCATTTGATACTGTTTTACCCCCTTAATTTTAGCCATTCTGGTAGTCATGTAATGATTCTAATTGCATTCCCTGATGGCTAATGATGTTGAGCACTTTTTTTTTCACATGATTGTTGTCTAATTTTGTATCTTCTGTAAAGTGTTCAAACGTTTTGTCCATTTTAAAATTGGATTATGTGACTTTTTATTATTGAGCTAGGAGGTCTTTGTATGTCCTGAATACCAGTTTGTCAAATATGTGTTCTTTTTTCTATTTTATTTTATTTTTTTTTGAGACGGAGTCTCGCTCTTTCCCCTTGGCTGGAGTGCAGTGGCGCGATCTCGGCTCACTGCAAGCTCCGCCTCCCGGGATCCCGCCATTCTCCTGCCTCAGCCTCCTGAGTAGCTGGGACTACAGGCGCCCGCCATCGCGCCCGGCTAATTTTTTTGTATTTTTAGTAGAGACGGGGTTTCACCATGTTGGCCAGGATAGTCTCGATCTCCTGACCTCGTGATCCACCCGTCTTGGCCTCCCAAAGTGCTGGGATTACAGGTGTGAGCCACTGCACCCAGCTGCCTGTTCATTTTCTTAATGGTGTCTTGCTATGAAGAAGATTTAAGATGGTCTAATTTTCCATTTTTTCCTTTATGGTTATTATTTTCTATTTAGGTATATGGTACATCTTGAATTGATTTTTGTGTATGGTGTGAGTTAGGGGATGAGGTTTATTTATTCTATGTAGATATCTAGTTATTCTAGCTCAGTTCATTTAAAAGACTTATTTCTCTCAATGGGTTGCTTTGGTGCCTTTGAAAACCAGCTTACTGTATAAGTGAGAGTTTATGTCTGGGTTCTCGTTTTTATTTAATTGATCTGTTTGTCTTTATGCCAGTACAAGTGTCTTGATTATAGTAGCTTCATAGTGAGTCTTAAAGTCAGGTAGCATGATTTCCCATTTGTTGTTTTTCAAGATTGTGGCAGATACTCTTTTTTTTTTTTTTTTTGAGATGAAGTCTCACTCTTGTCCCCCAGGCTGGAGTGCAGTGGTGTGATCTTGGCTCACTGTAACCTCTGCCTCCCGGGTTCAAGTAATTCTCCTGCCTCAGCCTCTTGAGTAGCTGGGATTACAGGCGCCTGCCACCATGCCAGGCTAATTTTTGTATTTTTAGTAGAGATGGGGTTTCACCATGTTGGCCAGGCTGGTCTCGAATTCCTGAGCTCAGGTGATCTGCCCGCCTCAGCCTCCCAAAGTGCTGGGATTACAGGCATGAGCCACTGTGCCCGGCCAGATTGTGGTAGATATTCTAGTCTTTCACAGTTTCATATAAATTATTCAGCCAACATGTAAATATACTATGTAATTTCCAGTTTTATCTCTGATAGTGTGTATACATATGTGTGTGTGTGTATATATGTGTATGTGTGTGTGTGTATGTGTGTGTGTGTATATATGTGTGTGTGTGTGTATACATGTATTTTTTTTTTTTTTTTTGAGATGGAGTCTCGCCCTGTTGCCCAGGCTGGAGTGCAGTAGCGCAGTCTTGGCTCACTGCAACCTCTGTCTCCTGGGTTCAAGCTATTATCTTGCCTTAGCCTCCTGAGTAGCTGGGATTACAGGCACCCGCCACCATGGCCAGCTAATTTTCGTATTTTTAGCAGAGACAGAGTTTTACCAGGTTGGCCAGGCTGGTCTCAAACTGCTGACCTGAAGTGATCCGCCTGCCTTGGCCTCCTAAAGTACTGGGATTACAGGTATGAGCCACTGTGCCCGGCCTTCTTTTCTTCTTCTTCTTTTTTTTTGCTTTTGATACAGAGTTTCACTGTGTTGCCCACGCTGGAGTGCAGTGGCACTGTCTCAGCTCACTGCAACCTCTGCCTCCCAAGTTCAAGGGATTCTTGTGCCTCAACCTTCCAAGTAGCTGGGATTACAGGCACGTGCCATGATGCCCAGCTAATTATTTCTTGAAGTGTATTTTATCTGATAGAACAACTAGATATGGTTCTAGTCATTTCAGTCTTACTCCTACTGTTTGCCTGATGCGTCTTTTTCCATTCGTTTACCTTTAACTGATCTGTGTTTTTATTTTTAAAATGTGTCTCCTGTAGACAATATACCATTGGGTCATCCTTTTATCCATTCTGACAATCTCTTGTTGTTCTCTCAGGTACTAGACTTGATAATCTTATTCTAATAGACATAGCTTCCTAACTCAAACATCTTACATGATTATGTTGGTAGTTCCTAAATAGAAATCTTTATAACCCTAAAAAGATAAGCATTGCTGGGTCCATTTACAGATGAGCAAACAAAGGCTTAGAGGCTTCAAGCCTGTAATTACCTGGTCTGGGATAGGATTCAAAGGCAGTTAGACTCCAGAGACAGTACTGCAATGCCAAACTGCCTTTGCTGCAAAAAAGCCACAGAGGCCCCCTCCCTCCCTACTCAAATTGTAGCAATTTTCTTTCAAGCTTAGAGATAAGCTTGTTCTCTTAAGAGGTACACTTTTACTGATCTACTTCCTACTAGACTTGTCTATAATATTTATAGCTTAATCTTTAACAGCTGAAATTTTTGTTTAAGCAATTTGATAATATATATGTAGAACTTAAAAGTAACTCGTATCTTCTGACCCGTGAATTAAAGTTTGAAAATCTGCTCTAAAAACATCATCAGAATTTAGATGAAATTGTATGGACAAAGATGGTTTATTAAATCATTATTTATAACAATGAACAACTTAACCCAGTGTTCAAAAACAAGACGAAGTATTACATACATAAGGATTCAGAATAACGACTGAAAGACAATACAGTGTACTGAAATATTAACCATAATTTGGAGGAGACTAAAA